CAGGACTGTACCCTATTTGACATTTCCAGATGGTCCCCTGCCAAATGACTTCATATACTTAGGGCAGACTGGGGCCAGTGGTGTAGGCCCTCGTGGTGAGGATTTCTGAGCAAGATGGAGCCACAGGAGGGTTCTGAGCGGAAGAGGGATATGATCTGAGTCAGGTGTTAGCAGGGCCCCGCTGGAACACACTGAAGTGGGGGAGGGAGCAGGGCAAGGAGAGCAGTGAGGAGGCTGCTGTGATAGTCCAGCAGGCGACAGCAGTAGACAGGACCTGTTTAATACCCCAAATATTCCCGAAACTCCCAACTCCTATCCATAGGACAGATACTTCCAAACTCCATCCCACACCCCAGTTTGATTCCCAGGCTTGAAGATGACCTAACCTCACCTCTGCACTCCCAGCCCCATTCCCCTACTTCCCCAGGCCCCCACCCTACTCCCACGCCCCACGGTGGCTCACTTTCTGGTCCCGGAGGCGCTCCCCGTGGATGACGTAGTGCCCCTGGTGGGCCCCCCCCTCGGGCCTGGCCCCTCGGACCCGACATACGCTCACCTGGCTGAGGCCCCCGCCCCCCACAGGCAGCCAGCCCCCACTGGAGTCATCTCGGGCCATCACCACAGCTCGGACCCGAACCATGTACCTGGAGGTGGGGAGAGAGGGACAACACAGTCAGTGACTTCTGCTCTCCCGTTCAATGTCCCTCCAACCCCCATCTCCCCTCTTTGTCTCTCACATCTGGATCCACCGCACCCTTTGCCACTAATATTCACCTTCCCTTCTATTTCCACCTTCTCCCCCATACCCACCTTCTCTCCCCATGCCTACCTTCTTCCAGCATGGCTTCTTTCTTCCTCATGCCATTTCTTTTCTCCCATGCCTACCTCCTCCATACCCACCTTTCCTCCCTCTCCCCATCTTTCCCATCCACGCTGCAGTTTCAGTCTTCCACTTCCCTTCCCCCTCCTGCTCATCCCCTATCAACCCCGTCTCCTTCTCCCTTCCCATACCCGCAGCCCCACCCATCGTTCCCCCTCACAGCTGGGTGCTTGCGCATATGTATTTTCTCAGAGCCCATCAACTCAGCTCCCGTCCCCCCTACACTGCCTCTGCACCCTGCCGTCCAGGCCACAGGCTGGATGAGAAACCCAGGCTCTCTTCCCCCACTCCTTCCCGGATTTATGAATGAGACCGGATGTAAAGCTCACTGAGTCACCCAGCAACGGGAGATGGTCAGGGACCAGGGAGAGAAACAGAAATGGCCAGAGAGAGGCCCAAAGGGAGATGGAAGCAGAGGAAGCCAGAAACCGGCGACCCAGACACATCCAGAGAGCATTTCATTCACAAAAAATCAAGCCTGCTCCCTCAGGCCCCAGCCTAAAGAAGGCAAAGGAGAGAGATTGGCAGCGGGGGTGGGAGGGTGGGGGAGAGTGTTGATCTCTCCTCCTCCACCTCCCCGCCCCAGCATCCTTCAGAAGCATTTTACCCCTCCCCCCAGCTCAGGGGACGTAGCCCTCCGCCCAGTAATAGGGATCAACGTCCAGCCCCTCACTACCGCCTAGAGCAGGGACCCTGGCGTCCCAGACTTAGGGACCCATGCAACAAGCTCTAGCCCTTGCCCCCACCTGCAGGCTGCCGGGTTTCTCCCGCCCTTCAGTAGGGGAAGGGGCGGCAGCAGCGCCCCCAGCCCCCTTTTCTCAATGGAATGGGATTTTGTGAATGAGCAGTCACGTGACACTGCTTCCTTTGTCCGCCCGCCTCCCCCGACAACAGGTGAAGCAGAGAAAAAGGGCAGGGGTACCCCCCAGGGCCTAGCTGCAATGAGACGCCAGGATTTCTGGGTGCCCCACGCTCCCCACACGTTTCCCGGGGGGAGTAGTCTCCACAGTTCCTCAATGGTGGGGGTCCAGAACGAAAATTTATGAATGGAGCGTCCTCAAGGAAGTCCAGGACCCCCAAATGGAGACTGGTACCCCAAATGGCTGCCGCGCAGTTTAGGGGCCCCCACCCCCTTGTCCTTCCAGCCGGGATCTGAGGGGAGCCCGGGTGGGCAGGAGGCGCAGCGCGGCCCTGGCCGCCCCCACACCGGGACAGGCGGTCTGTCAGCCCCCGCCCTCTCACCCCCTTGGCACCTGCCTGGGAGGCTCCGGCCGGGCTCCGAGCGGCGGCGACGTGGCCTCCTCCTCCTCCTCCTGTTCGCTCCGGCTCCCTCGCAGGCTCCGGCAGCGCTAGAGACGGGCACCGGGAGCCGGGGCGAGGGGGGAGGGAGGGGGAGCCTGGGAGATGGGTGAGGGGGAGGGGGCGGCTTGGGGGAGGGGTAAGCGCTGGGCGGGCATACTTGCCCGCTGGGTCCTAGAGCCCGGCACTGGCTCCTGCGAACAGCCCCCCAGCTCCCATTTTCTCAGGATCCAGAGAGGATTCCCTCCTTTCCCACCCATTCGCACCGTTGGTCCCTGAGGCTGTGGGGAAGGGGTCAGGTTCATAGCCTCTTCTCGGCGTTCTAAAGAGGTGAAGGTCTACGCTTTGGGTTCTAAATGGGAGGGACTGAAAGCCTCGCTGGGTTCGAAAAAGGATGGGGCGAGAAGGGGGCTTTCGCGAGGGGGCGAGGTCGGAGGGCCCAGGAAAGGAGAGGGTGAGGACATCTAAGGCGCGGACCCGAGAGTGCGTCATGGAGGGGGCGGGTCCACCGCGGATGGGCCTTTTGGAAGGACCCGAGGAAGGAGAGGGTTTTGGGAAAAGTTGTTATGCAGAGCCCTAAAAGGGGGGAGTTTAGAAGTAAATTGACTTAGGAGTGGGGAGCAAGAGAGACCCCCAAAAGGGAAGAACTACGTAGCAGTGTTCCTAATGGGCGGGGCTTTGAGAGAGGGACTAAAGGAGAAGGGCGAAGCATTGTAAAGGGGAGGAGCTATGGAATACGTCCTAAAAGGGTGGGGCGTAGAACGCCAAGGCTTGGGGGAGGGGAAGAAGACATCCGAGTATTAGATCCAGGTTCGTAAGGGGCTATGCTCGAGCTGTCTCACAGGGGGGCGGGGCCTCGAGCCCGGGGGCGGGGCCTCGATCTCGGGGTCCGCCCTCGCTGTCTCGCCCAGCTGCCTTCACCCGCACCCCCGTTCTTTTCGGTTATTTTCTGCTACGGCCGTTCCCCGTACTGCCCTTGGCCCAGGGGGCCACGGTCTGAACTTTGGTCGGCAGGAGGAGTCGGTGAGTGGGAACCTCTGGGCGAAGGAGGAGCTAAGGGCGGAGCTTGGGGGAAGGGGTGGGGCCTGAGTGTTGAGGACTGACGGTAGACCTGGAGCGGGAAAAGAAATTTAGCAGTGAGGCCTGAGGACCTGTCGCTGTCGGGGGAGAAGGCAGGACCCAAATGATCGACAGAGAGAGATAACGGAGGGTTAAAAGTGAGAACTGAAGGAGGGGTTAGCATGACCAGAACACCTGGAATTTGTTAGGTGGAGTAGCGGCCAGACCTGGGGAGGTGTTGATGAGGCACGATTCCCTGACAATCGAGGGCGGGACCAGAGCGCGGGGGCGGGGTTAGAGTGCAGAGAGAGAAGCCTAAAAGTCCTTGTAAGGCTTTTTAGGCTACTGAACACAACCGCAAATGTTATGGCCTGAGTGACAGGAAAGTGGGCAAGACCTGTCTTGGAGCCCGGAGACCGGGGACGTGGCCAAAGTGTAGAGATGTGATCTAAGGGATCAGCCAGGGGGTTAGGGACCGAACTTTAGTACACTGAGAGGAAGGAACCTCTGTCCGAACAGGAGTTGTATGGGCCCTTGGGGGGAAGAAAGCGTGAGCGCCGAGAGTCAGGGAACACGAATGTGGCTAGAGACCAGTGGATCTTGGAGGACAGGGACGGGGCAGGTGCCGACCGGTAGGACCAATAACAGGCAGCCTCGTTGGGTCCGCACATCCCTGGTCGACTGACTGACGGAAGTTTTTCCGACCACAGTCCCCGACCTTCGTCAGAAATGGGGAACGTGCAGTCGGAGCCGTCCGCTGGCGGGGGCTCCCGAAAAGAGCAGGCCTCGGACCGCTCCTCCGACTCTCGCCGGACGACCCTGGCGGAGCCCGAGGTGACCCCCTCTTCCCCTGCCATGCGCCTGGCTCGCGGGCTGGGCGTCTGGTTCCCCGGCAGCTTCGCGCCCCCGGGACTCCTGGTACCCCCGGAACCCCAGACCTCACCCTCACCCCTGCCCCTGACCTTAGAACTGCCCTCGCCAGTGACGCCCCCTTCAGAGGAGGCGGCTACGGCCGCGGTCTCCACACCACCCCCGCCCCCCGTGGGGACCCTGCTGCCCGCGCCGTCTAAGTGGCGAAAACCCACGGGCACTCCGGTGCCCCGGATCCGCGGTCTGCTGGAGGCAAGCCATCGCGGTCAGGGCGACCCTCCGAGCCTCCACCCGCTGCCGCCGCCGCCCCGGCAACTAACCGAAGAAGACCCCGACCCTGTCCCAAGGGCCCCATCCCCGACTCCACCACCCTTGGAGCCGCGGAAGCCGCTACCACCGCCACCTTTCGACCGGCAGCCCCCGGACCGCAAAATCAGTCCTGCTCTGGCCACATCCGCCGCAACCCCCACAGAAAGCCAGGTCGGGCGCGGCAGCGAGGGCCAGACGGCCGGCGGGGGCCG